CAATCTTTTCTGGGGAATCAACGATTCATTGTGTCTGTGTGTTCCCCTCGTGATTTTTTGACGGTTGCAGAATTGACGCTGGGAGGCCACACTCACGATGAGGAATCTGAGGCGACACGCCCGGGCAGCGCTACCGACACGTCGCATGCAAGACCCGACCTCACAGAACGGTTGGACCCGGCAAGAGGCACGCTGATGACCCCCTGACGTCGCACTGGTGACCACTTCAAGCACGACAACGCGAGAGAGATGTACGCAGTGCGCCATTCGAAGATCCTTCGTGGGAAATTCGTGGGCCGGCCGTCAAAGAAAATCCATGTTTAGTAGGCGAGTAAAGTGCCACTCGTGGATCAAATGCATTCGTGGGCCCAACCACTAGGGGGCCAAGGGGAGGGCCGTCCGTGGGGCCATTCCTGGGGCATCAGCGGGCATCAGTGGGGTATCCCTGGGCCTTTAGCGGAGAAGAGGAGAGAGAGAGAGAGAGAGGTACGAACAAAAACAACAAGCAAACAAAAAACAACAGCAGAAACCCGACGGGAATTTCACTTCCATCCTTGAGGCAGCGTCCCCCACTGACATCTCCGGTGGTGCAACGGGGGGAGGCCCGAGAGAATACGACAGGCGGCAGAGGGGGCGAGAGGAAGGCGGGAGATGGCACACGATGAGGGCGAAGTGGGGACGAAGGATTAGGTCGGGCATGCCCCCCTACAGGGGCATTGTGGACGGAAAAACAAAAAATAGCCAACAAATATTCAAGAAAGATCCAAAAGAATACTCAAGAAGTCGTACCCAGACACAATTTTGGCAACATCTTTAAACTTCCCTCCTGTGGAGGGACACGCCCGCCGTGAGCGAAGGATGGCGGGGGATGCAGGGGGGGGGGAGCAGGGGCGAGCACGGGAGAAGGGCGAGAGGCAGGGGTGTTCGGGAGCGGCCAAGAGGGGGGTGTCCAAGAGGGGGGGGTGCAAATCATGACCGGCGGCATGTGCGCGGCCCAGCGGGGGGGCGAGGGACGTAACGAAATAAGAAGAGGCGCCATGAAACCTGGGGAAATATCATGGCCCCTGCCATGGTATCCACCCCCCCTAGTCCTCACCCCCCTCCTTGCCGCCCCCGACAGGGGTGGGGGGGGAGGGGGGCCGGGATGAATGACGAGCAGAGGCGGAGGGAGACAGGACGAGAGAGTGGAGGAAGAGAGGGAGGGGGAATGATGGACGGGGAGGGACGAGGGAAGGAGAAGAAGCACGGCGGGGATGGGAAGGCCGAAGGAGAGGGTACGGCAAGCTTCGGACGCCCGAAATGCGTATGGAAAGAATGGGTACGACGCCCAACAACAAATGCTGTCCCAAACCAACAGCGGCCGCTGTTGGGCAGGCGGCCTTCTGTCTCGAATGGACACAGGCCACTGCGGCGCGGACAGCGAGTCCTGTTCAAAATGAGCAGGAACTGCTGTTGGGCATCGTACCCATTTTTTCCGTACCCATTTCGGGCGTCCAAACAAGCGACAGCTTCTTTTTGTTGCCCCATCCCGGTCCTGCGAGAACGATGCCCATGCAGTGCGCGTCATCTTCGAGAAGGCCTCCCTCTGCCCCTCTGTCCACATCCTCCTCCTCCTCCTGCTGAACTATTCCTGATCCTCTTCCCCTCTGCTCCAGGTCTCCGTCCTCTGACCTCACCGCCGTTATCCTCCTGGTACACCGTAGTCCTTCTCGCCTCTGCATCTCTTTCCTGCTATTGCGCATGTTCCCCCATACTCATCCTCACATTCGCTGTGCCCCCTCCTCCTCGACCCTGTTTCTCGTGCTCATCGTCGTTGGTATCATCGCCGTCCTCCTCCTCCTCCTAGAAAGCGCCTCGTCTAGACTGCAGCCGACAGACAGAACCAACGTCTCGTTGGCGCGATTCATCAACTGGTGGAGGCCGTCCTGCTCCGCCGTGAACGTCACCTTCTCTTCGAAGGATGGATCGATCACCTGGTGGGGCCGAAGACTTTCGTCCTCCACTTCATCTCGCTCGGCCTCCTCATCCTCTCCCGGGTGTCGCTTGCCCTTCCCGTTGCCCCTTCTGTTCCCTGCTGCCGCTTCTTCTCCCCATGCTCCCCCATGGCCCTCCTCTGTTTCTCTCTTCCGTCCTCCTCTGGCTCCACCTCTGACTCGCTCACCTCCTGAACGCCCCGTGTCGTCCTCAACATGATCACCCGGTGCTTGCTGGATCGTCTCATGAACGGCTCATGTCGGCGGGTCCAGATACTGCGGGGACGGGAACACAATCAGGTAAAAAGCACGAAGTCGGAGAAATTCGCAACGGAAGGGAGCAAAGAACAGCTCGCCACCCCAACGCAGAAATGTACGATTTAGTATAAATGTGTGGAGTCTGCCAAAGGCCAGGGAAGACCGCTCCCCCTCCGTTTCCTCCCCCTTCCCCTCCCCGTTCTGTCCCCTCTCCTCCTCCTCCTCCTCCGCCTCCTCCTCCTCCTCCTCCTCCTCCTCCTCCTCCTCCTCCTCCTCCTCCTCCTCCTCTGTCTCCTCCTCTGTCTCCTCCTCTGTCTCCTCCTCCTCCTCCTCCTCCTCCTCCTCATCCGCCTCCTCGCCCTCCATGCGGTCGCCTGCAGGAGGGAGTCGGCCAGCTGGGGCAGCGTCTCGTCGCAGTACTCCGCAGTGCCGATCACGCAGCACACCCTCTGCACGTCCCTCGCCTCCAGGGGCGCACTGGTCACCTTCGGGAGCTGCTTCTCCAGCCGGTCGGTGTACTGCGACATGGCCTTTCGGAACACCTGGGAGAGGGGAAGGGGCAGGAGCTGAGGTGGATCGGAGCCGCCAGTGCTGCCCCTCCCGGCCCCTGTCCGTCGCCGTCGCCCTCCTGCCCCTCCTCCTCCTCCCTCCGTGTTGTCATCGCTCCTCCCGCCCATCCTCCCTGTTCTGCCTCCCTCTCGCCCCGCTCCTGCTCGCCCACCTCCTTCACTTATCCGCCACCGTGCCCTGAGGCACGAGTTGGAATATCCTCAGATCCCTTGGAGGTCCTTGTCCTCCGCCCTGCGTGAATGAACAATACCTCTTGAGGGGCCCAGAACCCAACTTGCCGGACTTCCCATGGTTTCCCGCGTGGCCGGGCAGTGTTCTCGCATGAATTTTCCGAAGCCACGAAGGGTCCAAGACGGGCCAGAAGCCCCCAAGCGAGCACGCAAGCAAGATGGCCAAGCATCCTGAAGGACGCGTGGTCTGGTTGGCAAGGGCACTCGGGGCTCCTGCCAGGATTCGCTGTGAACAAAAATCGCCGCCAGCGCAAATGACTTTGTCGGCGCCACCACAGTTTGGACTGAACAGCCCAGTAGGAGGCATCGATGTGCCTTGCTTTGCGTTGCCTTGCACTGCTTTGCGTTGCTTCGTATTGCTTTGCATTGGCTTACATTGCTTTGCATTGCGTGCACCACATAGATTGCACCACCAGGATTGCGCCGCACAGATTGCGAGACATCATCGTTTGGAGTCCACGCTTGCTAATAATCCTGCGCTTTTTGTTCGATTTTAGCGTCCTCGCATTTTCGAATTTTCGACGCTGTAACGGCCCAACATGCCCCCAGGACCCCCCGACGACTGCCGAGTGGGCTCCCCAGAAGGCCCCAAACTGCCATTAGTGCCAAAAAGGCCCAACCGGGGCCCAAGAGACGCCTAAGAGAGGCCCCCATGGGGGAGCACGAACCGACATTCCGAGCCCTGCACGGTGGCGGAACGGGCCGAAGGCCACATAACTCCGCCGCCCCCTGTTGCTTCATCACGGGGATGCCCTGCGTGCTGAATCCTTCCGCTTTTGGTTGTGTTTTTTTCCCCAAAAGAACTCTCCCTGGGGCGTCGGCCCGTCCCGCCAGCCACCCGAAAGGACCTGAACGACCGCAAACAATTCTCCAAGACGGCTCAAGATGGCCTCTAAGATGGTCACATTGGCTCAAGATGGCCTCCAAGATGGCCTCCAAGTCGCCAAAGATGGTCCAAGATGGCTTCCAAGACGGCCCGAGAGAGTCCAAGATGTCTTCAAGTTCGTCCGAGATGGCTCCAAGATGGCCTAAGATCGGCCAAGAGGCCCCCAAGAGGCTTCAAAGTCGTCCTCCAGGAAGGCCCGAAAGGGCAAACATCATTGATTTTCCGTATGTGTTTGAAGGATTTTGACATTTTCTTATTATCAGCTCTCAGACGGCCCAAGACGGCCCAAGAGGCCCCTAACATCGGCCCAAGAGCGCCCAAGGGCCCCAAGAAGAGCCCAAGGCGGCCCAAGATGGCCCCGAAGACGCCGAAGATGGCATCCAAGACGGCCACGATGGCCTCCAAGACGGCCAAAAAGGCCTCCAAGACAGCGAAGATGCAGATGGCCCCAAGATACACCCAAGACGGCCCCAGATGGCCTCAACATGGCCTTCGACTGCCCAAAAGGCCCGCAAGAGGCCTCCAATCTGGCCTCCATAACGGTCCAAACAAAAATGCCTACAAGACCGCCAAGATGGCCCAATTGAGCCCCAGAGTGCCTCAGAGGCTCCCAAGAGGACTCTTCCTCCCTTCTCCGTTTTCCTCACTCCCCTCCTATTCCCCAACCTCCTCCACGTGTTCCCCGAAAGCTTTCCAAACCAATTCGGGGAACACTCCTTCCGAAAGATTGGCAAGGATCTCACCCAACCTTCGGCCAGCAGGCACCAAGACGCCTCCAAAAGATCACAAGAGCCCCCAAGGGGGCCCGAACACGCCCATTGCTCGCGCTCCTCCTCTTCCCCGTCCTCCCCCACGTGTTCACCAGAAGCTTTCCAAACCGATTCGGGGAACACATGGTCCGATAGCTTGGCAGGGCTCTGTGTGAACGTTCGGCCACATAGGCGCTTCCGAAAGGGCAGGGGGCGGCAGTGACTCGCCGTAGGCGTCTTCGAAATTTATCATATTATCATCCCCTCCTCACCCCTCGCGCCTCCTCCGTTCTCCTCCCCCGCAACCTTCCTTTGCGGCGTTGGGTCACCAAAAGACCTGGAAAACGTCGAAGAGGGTGTTGTGGGTGGAGAAGCCCGCGCATTTCGTCATGCTGCCCTTCATGGAGGCGAACAGTGTGGTGGCGGATTTGTAGAGGAGTTTCGGCTCGAAGCTGCCATCGTCGTCTTCCTCGCGGCGACGCAATCCATCCATTCCAATACGCACATAGTGAAGGGCAACAATGTTCCCCACAGTTTCCCCATATTCATTTTCTTGGATTTTGTCTCCCCCACACTTCCCATATTTTCCCATATCTTCTAGGGGATCGACGATGAATTGTGTCTGTGTGTTGTTGTCCCTCCTGAGATGAAAGAACACGTCAAAGGCATGAACATGAACTCTCGGAGCTTGCCGCGAAAAGTTCTTTTCGATCGGCACTAGGCCCCCTTTGGCGGCGCCTCCAGCGCCGCTCCTGGCGCGCCAGGGAAGAGGGGCCTGCGCCGAGCCCAAGAGACCCGCGTGGAGCTCAAACCAATCATGCGCATGCAGTTTTCCTCTGCGAGGCAGCACCGACAGACCAGCAGAATGGACACTCCCCCTGTCCCAAAATTCAAGGGTGGCACGCGCGGAGGAGGCTGCGGTCGAAGAACGACTCACCAGATACACACACACACCGACAACTTCGGGCACTGTGGGGAGGGGGAGGCGTTGACCGACGTATGTGGCATGCGTGTTCGCTATGTTGTTCCGGGTCTGGGACTGGCGCACACGCCATCCTGGCCAGGCCCGGAGGGCTAACCCTTGAGCAGGGGCCGACCGTCCTCGCATTCCTACAGGCCTACCACGCAATATTCTCAGAACCAGCGAATCTTCTAAGAACAAAGGCGACGATGCTCTCAGGCCATACATCCGACGTGCTAAACCAAGACAGCCTCAGCCAGAAGTGCTCTGAGAGCATGCCGTGCAGACCACAGGAGGCTCTTAGACCATTCGTCGGTGGGCCCATGGTATGGTGAGCGTTTTCTGGTTCGGCGTTTCGACATTGGGCGGAAGGGGGGAGGGAGGGGGGGTCTGGCAGCAGTGCGTCCTATCGGGGGAGCCTCCGCCTGCCTGAAACAGGAGCCAAAAACAGCCAAGATCTACACCCTGCGAAATGCTTTAGAAATCATGGGTTAAGAAATTGAAAGTCTCAGAATTTACATAAAAACCCAGAAGGTCCATTCAGATCTTAGGATTTACGTTGAAACATTAAGAATAATCGAGGCTCTGGCCGAAAACTTGGGTTTTCTTAAGCATCGCCTGAGGTGTACTTCATGAGAGGGGGGGGTGAGGAGGGGTGCGAAGGCCCGCGCCGATCGGCAAAACACCAAATAAAAGAACGAGATCACCTGGGCCAACCAGGACGCGGCGCCAGTGCTTGAAACCCACTGGCATGGGCGCCGAACCCCGGACCCCTGGCCTGGGCCTGGCCCGGCCACGGCTGGTGCGAGGGTCTCGTCGGCCTTCCCCGCGGCTTCGGAGCAGCTGGGCCCCAGCGCTCCTCGTCGCCGCCGCCCTGCTCGATCACCTCGTCCGCCCCTCGCGGGGCCAGAAACTTCAGCCCTGCAAGCTCTGAAGCTCCAGCAAGGTGATCGACTGCAGAATTGATCTACCCCAGAATTGATGTTCTCGCCGAGTCTACGAACAATGCGTATCATGCTTCGTGGTTTTGCGTGGGCTTCTACGCTATGTTCGCAGAAGCAACGGAAAAACAATCGTGCGGTAAATGAATTCTGCAGTCCATCCCCTACTCGAGAAGCCCCCATAACCCGCTGAGGAGCCCCCACCCCCGAAACGGCCTGCGCGAGGGAGAGGCGAGAAGCCAGGGCTGCAAGGGGGAGGGGAAGGGCGGCGCGCGGGGGGGGGGGGCGGCAAGAACGCCCAAAGGCACCCATACCGCTACTCCCGGGACCTCTCCCAGGGTGCGTTCTGACCAGCATTTCGAGGCGAATCTGGCGGTGGCGGCGAGGGCCTCCAGGGAGGCCCGACGTGGGGACAGCGGGCGAAGGGCAGAGACCAGGGATGCCTGCTCCTCCTCCTCCTCCTCCTCCTCCTCGGAGGGGGGGGGGGGGGCAGGGAAGCACCTCCTCCGAGAGGAGGCCTCAAGAAGGGCTCGGGAGCTGCAGGGCAGAACCCCCCCACCCCCCCTGGGGCTCCCGCGGAGCCCCCCCCCCGCGCCTGCGCCGACGGCCGCCCCTCTCGCGCCCGCTTTTCGGCGGGCGCCGCAGCGGCAAGGGGGGGAGGGGGGCAAGGGCGCGGGGCCAGAGAGCGGCAGGGGCCACGCGCGGCGGGGGAGAACAGAAGCCGCCCCGCGGGCGCGCGGCCCAAGGACGGGCCGCGTCCCCGTGGCCCGTGGGCTGGCGCGCCAGCGACCGCGCAGCGAGGACCCCCCTCCTCCTCCTGCTCCTCCTCCCCTTCCTCCCTTCTGCTCCTCATCCCCCTCCCCCCTCCTGCTCCTCCTGCTCCTCCCCTCCGCCTCCTCCGCCTCACTCCTCCTCCTCCTCCTCCTCCTCCTCCTCCTCCTCCTCCTCCTCCTCCTCCTCCTCCCCCTCCTCCTCCTCCAGCGAAGGCGGGACGACGACGACGACCACCACCACCACGAAAAAGATGGCGCAGCAGAGTCAATTTCTGGCCCGCGGCCTGGGGCCGTGCCCCGCGACATCTCCTCGAGCAGCTGGCGCTCCTCGTGGCGCACCCAGGTGCCGAGGTAGGCGTCGAAGCACTCGCTGATGATGCCCTTGAACCGCGGGGCGAACTCGGCGTCCTCGGGCAACCCAGGGCGCCGCCGCCATCCTCCCTGAGCTGACCCCCCCCTGTTCTCCTCGGAGAACTGTTGCGCCCTCCGTGCCCATCGGGCCGCGCGCCCGCCCCCCCTGCTCTCTTTCCTCTCTCCACCCGTCCGTCCCCCCCCCCCTCTTCCTCATTCCACCCCGTGCCCTCCTCTTCCCTTCTCCTTTTCCCCCCACTTCCTCCTGATCCAGTAGCCCCACCGACCCTCCTCATCCTCCTCCTTTTCCTCCTGCTCCTTTTCCTCCGCCTCCTCCTCATTCCGCCCTCATCCTCCTCATGATGCACATGTTTTCTTTCGGAACCCCGCGCGGACTGCGTGGGTTGGCGGTGGACCTCCCTTCCTGCGCCCGTCTTCGTGGACGTCCGGTGCCGACCCAAAGCGGGAGGCCCAAGCATTTATGCCGCCGTCTGGTTTCGTGGAATGGAACGGGGCGGGAGGAGGCGAGGGAGGAACAGCAGGCAGAGGAGCAATGACGGGAAGAGGATGAACACCGGCTGCGCGCACGATTTACTCCAGGCAAGATTGACCTTTGGTGCGCGGTTCTAGGGGCCGCGGGAAAGCCAAATCCAAGCGTGCAGTCGAATATTATGGGGGCCTTTGTGGACACGCACCACAAGTCAGTCACTACAGCGAAATCACTCCTGCAGGTGGCCGAGAAAAAGAGGAGGGACAAGGAAGAGGATAATGAGAACGATGTGAAGGGGATTATTTCCAACATCAGCCACGCACACAAACACAGACGCACACACAGACGCACACACACACACACACACACACACACACACACACACACACGCGCGCGCGGACCCCTGAGCTCGTCCAGCCCCGCGGGCAAAAAGAATTCCAGGGCGCGGGTGGAGGCAACCGCGACGCGGCCCCGCTCCGTCGCAGGGGAGGCGGATCGTGGAACGGGCGCCTGGCCGAGCGCCCGTGACCAGAACTCTGCGCGCTGAAGCCGTGCTCCCCCTCGTTCACAATCTCGCGGGAGACGCTCTGGGCAAAAACGAAAGAAGCGGCATCAGCGCTGGGACCATCCCAAGCGCAAGGAGGATCGTCAACGCGAGGACAATGGGCAGCAGGCGCCTGCTCGCGTAGAGACACGTCGGTCTGCACCTTTACGACCAAGGCTTCCGATGGTCCTCGCACGTGCTGGATGGGAAAACGGACGAGTTCGGCTTGACCTCGTCCATCTGCTCCCTGAGCTGCGCTTCGCACTTGTGGTGCAGCTTTGCATTGCCTCCCTCAGAACCCTCAGCTGCTGAGGGGTGGAACCCTAGACGCGGGAAGCTTGACAGCAGGCGGCAACTAGTCCAGGAGGCCGTCCACACTGCACGTACTACCGCGAACATGGTGCGAGCCAGCTCCTAGAAAGAAAAGCAGAACCGCTGAACGCAGCACTGTGATTCGAGAAGGGACCGGCGGCACAACCTGCTTCTCGGCCTCCGCGTCGCGCTGTGGCCGCCGAGCCCCACATGGCAGCGCGCCCCCACTAACTACAGGCGTCGCCGATTGGGACGCCTGCGCCCGATTAGACGAGGCCCCGCCTGGGCTGCGACCCACGCCTCGCGCGGGGCACCGGCGCTCGGGCATGCTGCAGCATGCCAGCCAGGTCGTCTGCGGTGGCCCGCGCTGCCTCTGCACCTCCCAGAGACGGATCCCTCGGCACCATGCCCAGGCGGAGGGCCACCCTCGGCCGAAGAGCGGACGCGTGACGAGCCAGCTCGTCCGCCAAGGGGGCGTACGCCCGCCGGTCGGCGGCTGGGGCCCAACTGGCTACGGATGATGGGGGGGGAGGGGCCGATGAGGAAGAAGAGGGGGGACTAGAAGAGGAAGCAACGGCGTAACGTAAAGCGAGAATAATGAGGTTGTGGCTCGCAGTCTTGAGGTTGTGGTTCGGACTGCCCCTGTGCCGTGGGCTTCGGCGCATTCGCCATGCCTCTCGCTGCAGGCTCTGGCTTCGACCGTCTGCTCACATGCGCTCTCGTCGCCGTTGTCGTTCCGTCCTGGGTCTCGGCGGGGGTACTGGCGGCTGGATCCGACTCAGGGTCCTCCAGGGTTCGTCGTCAACGTCATATTGTCGTCGTCGTCCGTCATCGTCGCCCGACGTCGGCCGTTGGTCATCGTCGTCGTCGTCGTGGGTCATCGTTTGCGTCGTCGTTGTGGTCGTCGTCATCGGTCGTCTGTCGTTGGTCATCGTCGTCGTCATCGTCGCCAGCGTCGTCGTCGTCCGTCGTCGGTCATCGGTCGTCTGTCCTCGGAGGGGCTGGCGGATGAGCTGGAGGAGGAGGAGGGGAGGGAGAGGAGGAGGACGAGGACGAGGCGGAGGACGAGGCGGAGGACGAGGAGGAGGAGGAGGAGGAGGAGGAGGAGGAGGAGGAGGGGGGGAGGACGAGAACGAGGAGGAGGACGCGGAGGAGGACGAGGAGGAGGAGGAAGGAGGAAGGCGGAGGATGATGATGATGATGAGGAGGAGGAGGAGGAGGAGAAGGAGGAGGATGAGGAGGAGGAGGAGGAGGAAGAGGGGGGACGGGGAGGGGGAGGGGGGAGGAAGTTGGAGGGAGGAAGAGCCCCCCGTTGCTGGCGGCGGCGGCCGGGCAGCGCTACGCTGCTGGGCGCCAGGGTCCAGGCGTCTTCGGAAGGGGGCTCGGCCCAGCAGCAGGGACGTGGAGGAAGATGCTGGGTGGGGAGGTGCGGGGGTGGAGGGGAAGCAGCAGTTGTGGTGGGAACTGCATGGTCAGCAGGAGCAGCGGTGGCAGGAGCGGCGGCGGCCACCCCGAGGGCAGGAGGCGGATGGAGGTGCGCAACAGCAGCAGCAGCGACAGAGCAGCGAACGCCGTGATTCGTTCAACGCGTGGCCCCGACCTCTCGACCCAGGCTTGGCGCTCCGTCCAGGATAGTCTTTTTTGACAGCCCCAGGCGCGAAAACGACCCCCCAGGTGCCGAAATTCGTGAACCGCCCCGGCCTGAATTTTCCAAGACGGGGGCCGGAATCCCTTGATGTTCGAACCTCGATCGTCCTCCGCCCGCTCCGACGACAACATCCATTCCTGGGGCATGTTCTGACCAGAACTGACAGTAACCCAGCCGTGGCCGATCCGAAACCGACCCCTTTGTGGCGCGTGAAGTTCATAGCGCGAGCAAGGCGAATAGAGGCGAAATCACGATCGGGACGAGGAGGTTGATCAGTTTAACGGGGGCCCAGGAAGAGGGACAGGGGGAAGGAGGAGGCACGGAGGAGGGAGGGGGAGGGCGTAAGAGGGAACAGGAGAGAGGATCAGTGAGGGAGAAGGACGAGGATGGGGAGGATGGGGAGGATGGGGAGGAGGGGGACTCGAACCGAATGAAACACACCACGGCAACAACGCAGTTTCTTGGACACGACCTGTGCCTTTGCGAACGGCTCGGCTCTTCTGCCTGCCCCCAGCGGGCGAACAAATCATTTAGGCCCTGGCGTCGCCTCCGAACTCCAGGAGGATTTGAGGGCCACCACCGAACACCCCCTGGAGAATGACGCCCCACCTGTCACGCACGGGAGACGAAAAACGACCCTATTCGCACCAAATGGGTGTTTTTTTTCTTCCGCGGGGTAGAAGGAACAGGACGTCGTTCGCGGGGTAGCAGAAACAGGACGCCTCCCGCGAACTAGGAGAAGAAAGCGGGCGAGGAGGACGACGAAGAGTGAGGTGGAGGGGAGGAGGTCGGGGACGAGAATCAGGAAAAGGACGAGGGTGGAGGAGGAACGCAGCATGCGATTGCCGCCCCGACTGGATGGCGACAAGATTGCATCAAAATGGGTCGGCAGACCTTGTTTGCTGCATGCTGTTCTGTTCTCGTCGCAAGGCCCTCGCCTCATCCTTGCCCGGGAAACGACGCGGGTGGGTCACAATCAACCGAGCACTTTCTCGAGACATGGCTCCACGAGAAATCCTAAGTCGAAGGCGCGCAAGCGAGCGAGTTGGCTCGGGACGGCGGCCAGGGCCGACCCCCGCTCGCCATCGAAAGCGCGCAAGCGCGCCAGTTGGTTCGGGCCGGCGGCCAGGGGCGACCCCCCCTGTCATGTCCTGTTCGGACACCCGAGCAAGGCATGACAGGGGGGTCGGCCCTGGCCGCGGAAACCCGCTTGCCATCGCCAGCGCGCGCAAGCTGGCTAGGGCTGGCGAGCAGGGCCTACCCCCTGTCATGTCCTGCTCGGATATCCGAGCAGAGCATGCGAGAAAGATCGGCCCCTGCCGCAGACCACCGCTCGCCGTCGACAAAGCGCAAGCGCGCGAGTTGGCCAGGGCCGACCCCCTTATCATGTCCTGCTCGGACATCCGAGCCGGACATGACGGGGGGATAGGCCCTTGCCGCGGACCCCCGCTCGTAATCGACAGCGCACAGGCGCGCGAGTTGGCCAAGGCTTGCGGCCAGGGCCGACCCCCCTGTCATGTCCTGCTCGGACATCCGAGCCGGACATGACAAGTGGATAGGCCCTTGCCGCGGACCGCCGCTGGTCATCGAAAGCGCGCAAGTTGGCAAGGGCTTGCGACCAGGGCCGACCCCCCTGTCATGTCCTGTTCGGATATCCGAGCAGAGGGCGTGAAGGGGACCGGCCGCTGCCGCGGACCCCCGCTCGCCATCGACAAAGCTCAAGCGCGCGAGTTGGCTCCAGCCAGCGGCCAGGGCCGACCCCCTTGTCATGTCTTGCTCGGACATCCGAGCAGGACACGACAGGGGGATAGGCCCTTGCCGCGGACCCTCGCTCGCCATCGACAAAGGGCAAGGGCGCGAGTAGATTCGGGCCGGCGGCCAGGGCCGACCCCCCTGTCATGTCTTGCTCGGACATCCGAACAGGACATGACAGGGGGATGCGCCCTTGCCGCAGACCCCCGCTCGCCATCGAAGGCGCGAAAGCGATCGAGTTGGTTCGGGCCTGCGGCCAGGGCCGACATCCCTGTCATGTCCTGCTCGGACATCCGGGCAGGACATGACAGGGCCCCGGCCCATGACACGACACGATGACGATGACGACGACAAGCCCTGGAGGACCCCGAGTCGGATCCAGCCGCAAGTACCCCCGTAGAGACCCAGCACGGAACAGCAACACCCAGAGGGGGAAGGGGAGAATGGGGGGAGGAGAAGAAAATTAATGAGGGGGAGGAACGATTAGCAGTAGGATCGTGATGACGTCCTGATGAGGAAAAGAAGGAATGTATGCGAGCAGACGGTCGAAGCCAGAGCCTGTAGCAAGAGGCACGGCTAATAAGCCGAAGCCCGCAGCACAGGGGCAATTTGAACCACAACCTCAAGATTGCAAACCACAACCTTATGATTCTCGCTTCGTAGCACCCCGCAATTGCGGATAAGAGTGAGGGGGCGGGCGCGGGCGACGCGGGCGTCGAGCCGGCGGACCTCGTGGCCCTCACCTTCCCTGTCGATGGCGCCCTCCTCCTCCTTCTCCTGCTGCTCCTCCTAGTCCTCCTCCTCCTCCTCCTCCTCCTCCTCCTCCTCCTCCTAGTCCTCCTCGTCCGCGTCCTCGTCCTCATCGTCGTCGTCGTCGTCGGCCTCCTAGGCCCCTTAATTGTGGGCGCCTTGAGGCAGCTTCCCCTGAACCCAGGCTTCGGGCACGGATGCCGAATTGGAGCAGGCAGCTGGATTGTCAATGAACGTGTTCAGACACAGACCCGCCGCAGGCGCCGATGTGATGTTGTAGAGTGAACGTGGGCCGGATCGGGGGAATGGCACGAGGGCGCTTTCCCAAACCAATGCGAGCAAACCCGCCGCAGACGCCGACGTGCGTGCTCTGACAAGTTCAGCGCGGGGGGGATCGCTGGTGGGCCACCCGGAACGAATGCAGAAACAGCCCGCCGCAGGCGCCGAATTTTTGGCTTGCTCAGTGAAAGTAGTTTGGGTCGTGGGTGGGTCGCGAGCTCTCCACCTCCACCTGGAAGGAATTCAAAAACAGCCCGCCGCAGGCGCCGAAAATTTTGATTTGTACACTGAAAGCGGTTTGGGTCGCAGGTTCTCCCCCTGGAACGAATGCAAAAGAAACCCGCCACAGGCGCCGAAATTTTGGCTTGTTCAGTGAACGTAGTTTGGGTCGCGGGTGGGTCGCGGGCTCTCCACCTCCACCTGGAAGGAATTCAAAAACAGCCGCAGGCGCCGGAAATATTGTTTTTGTACACTGAACGCGGTTTGGATCGCGGGTGGGTCGCAGGCTCTCCACCTGGAACGAATGCAAAATAAGTCCGCCGCAGGCGCCGAAAATTTTGGGTGGGTCGCGGGGTGGGTCGCGGTGGGTCGCGGGTGGGTCGCGATGGGTCGCGGCTGGATCGCGGTGGGTCGGGTGGGTCGCGGGGTGGGTCGCGGGGTGGTCGCGGTGGTCGCGGTGGGTCGCCGGTGGTCGCGGGTGGGTCGCCGGGGGGTCCGGTGGGTCGCGGGCGGGTCGCGGGGGGTCGCGGGGGTCGCGGGTGGTCGCGGGGCGGGTCGCGGGGTGGGTCGCGGGTGGGTCGCGGGGCGGGTCGCGGGGGGGTCGCGGGTGGGTTGCGGGGTGGGTCGCGGGTGGGTCGCGGGGTAAGTCGCGGGTGGGACGACGACAACAACAAACAACAAACAACAAACAACAAACAACAAACAACAAACAACAACTAACAACCAACAAACAACGAACAACAAACAACGAACAACAACCAACAAACAACAAACAACAAACAACAAACAACAAACAGCAAACAGCAAACAACAAACACAACAACAACAACAACAACAAAAACAACAACAACAACACCAACACCAACAACAACAACAACAACAACAGCAGCACCAGCAACAACAACAACACCACCACCGACAACAACAACAACAACAACACAGCGACAACGACAACAACAACAGCGACAACGACAACGACAACAACAACAACAACAACAACAACAACAACAACAACAACAACAACAGCAGCAGCAGCAGCAGCAGCAACAACAACAACAACAACAGCAACAGCAACAGCAACAGCAACAACAGCAACAACAACAACAAAATCAACAACAACAACAATATCAACAACAACAACAACAATAGCAACAACAGCAACAACAACAATAACAACGACAACAATAACAAAAACAACAACAATAACAATAATAATTCGCATCGCGGATTTCCACTTCAGCCACGCACCCAGGGACAGTGAATGACCGTTCTGTTCAGCCCCCTCACTCTGAACATACGTAAACTTGTTGCGCTCCGCGCGGATTTCTTGGATCTGCGTTGGACCCCCGTCCCTGGTGCGCGGAACGCTCCAGGGGCGGCGCCAGAAGCGCCGCTGGGGGGGCCCAGCGCGGATCCAAGAAATCCGCGCGGAGCGCTAAAAGTAATGCTTATGGCGTTTGGTCTTCGTCGAGGGACGGGAGGAGAAGGGAGAGGGGAGTCAAGCTGACGCCAGGGTGAAGCCAAATTCGGGTATGGGAACCTCGGGAATCTCTGAGAAACCAACACACCTGGAGGATATACAGTAGGGGCTTGACCACAAGAAACCTTCCACAAGTCACAAGAAACCCAACCCAGAGACCCCAGGACGTCCATGGATTCTTGGTGTGGGAACGTCGCTCTTTCCATAGCAAAACCCTCGAAACCCAACAAGCCCAGGGCGCCCTGGGGCCAAACAGGGTGCTTCTTGGCATGGCCCTCCACCGTATATCGGGCGCCGCGGCCGCGCGTTCCGGAGCGGTCCTCGCCGTCGTCGGCCACCGCGGCCGGCCGCGCCTTGCCCATCGCGTCCGGGTACTTGAGGCCCAGGCCTCGAAGGAGGACACATGGCCCCACCTCCTCCTGATCATTCTCCGCCTCGTCCTCCTCCTCCTCCTCCCACCTTGCCGCCTCTTACAAGAAGAAGAAGAAACGCCATAAACAGAAACGTTGACGGTTCGCGCGGAGTTCTTGGATCTGCGCTGGACCCGAGCCTGGCACGGTGAGCGCGCCAGGGGCGGCGCCCGAGGCGCCGCCGAGGGGGCCTGGCGCGGATCCAAGAAATCTGCGCGGAGCACCAACGTTTATGCTTATGGCGTTTTTTCATCTTCGATTCCTGCCCCTCATCCTCCCTCCCCCTGCTCTTTTGTTGCTTGTGTTTTCCGTTCGTGGTCCACCTGATCCAGCCACCTCTGTGCTGGGAAACCGTCCTCGGGGAGCTTCTGACCCAGTTACATCCGAACCTGGTCCAGTCATGCTTTGCAGGATCCTGCGAGATCCTCTAGGCTCCTGCAAGAAGATCCTGCACCCAAGCCTGGGCCAATGCGTCCCTGGCCCTGCAGGATCCTGCAAAGTCCCGCCGTCTGGCTGACCCTCGTACGTCGCGCAAATCACATCAGGTTCTTAGAACATTCTTTGGTGAGCCTACAGACCATCCAAGGCGCCTCGCCACTGCCTGGATCCCGGGATAGGGGCACGGAAAATGACATAAACATATAAACTCGGAGGTCGGCGCGGATTTCTTGGATCCGCGCTGGACCCCCCTCCCTGGCGAGCGGAGCGCGCCAGGGGCGGTGCCGGACGCGCCGCCAGGGGGTCCCAGCGCCGATCCGAGAAATCCGCGCGGACCTCGGTCTCTTTTCATGTTTATGCCATCCTTCCCTCCCCCGCGGGAAGCCGCCCGCAGGCCGCGGGCAGGCACGCGCTGGCGCCGAGCCGGCGGCCCTCGTCGTGCACGCCCACCGACGAGGCGCACGGGCCGAGACGTGCGCCCCCCAACGGCCTACGCCGCCCGGGGCCGCGCCCCGGGCTCCGCGCACGTGGCCGCGCGGCCCCCCCGGGGGCCGCGCGGCCCTCGGGGGCCGCCGCCGCGCCGCGGGCGCCGCCCCGTCGCGCGACGCCGGCGCTGCGCCGGCGCTGCGCCGAGGGCGGCGGCCGGCGCCGCGCCGAGCCCCGCCGGTGGCGGCCGGGCCCCGGACCGCCGAAGTCAGGTCGGGGCGTGCCCCCCCTTCGGGCGGATTTTGGGAGGCAAGCCACCAAAAAATGGCCACGCAGCATGCGAGCACAGAGCCACAAGAGGGCGAGACACCAATCCCCGGGACTTCGGGAGACACATCGACGAGGGCCACACAACATGCAGCAGGAAGGCCACGAGAGCACGAAGCCTCGTCCCCATGTCTCCCGTCCTCGGATCTTCCTCCTCTGGAGGGACATGCCCGACTTCACACCGGGGGCGCCGCGCCGCCGAGCCCAGGGCCGTCGGCGGCGCCGTCGCGCGGCCCCGCAGCTCCGACGCTCCCGCCCGCGCGGCGCGCGCCCGGCGGCCCGCCGGCAGTGAGTCGGGCCTGCCCCTCTACAGGAGGGGGGCATTCAAACGCTAGCCAAACATGGCCCGCAGGCGACTCTTTGACCGCGTGTGGCTGCTCCTGACTGTCTGGAATCCGTCTTCTCGGAGTCCCTCCAACATCCGCTTTTTACAGGGAGACGTGCCCGACCCAACGCCAGCAGCGCCAGGCGGCCTGGCCCAGACGCCAGAGGCGGCCCCCGGCGGCACGGGCAACAGCTCCGAGCGCACAGCCCCAGACTCGGGTCGGGCGAAAGAGGGGCATAGCACAAGGGGGGTTTGAGAATCAGCTCACGTAGCTGATTTTCCCGGCGCCTCCCTGCGCCAGAGGCGGCCATGTATCGAGGAATGGGCCCCTTGGGTGAGGCCGAGACCAGCTGCATGCAGCAAATTTCGTACCCCCCCCTTTCCCAATCCCCCCCTTTCGCCCGGCCC